TCCTCGTCCTCCGTAAAATGCATTGCACACATTTGAATATTTGGTTTGAACTGTTCTGGAACAGTGTTGTAAATACAGCGTAACCACTGATTTCTAGTTGTGTCCTCTTTTGGAAGGCCAAAAAAAGTAGTTTTGACAACGAAATACACAGCGTCTCCACGACATGGTGGCGGCGGCAGCAACAATACTACAGCGAGAATAAAAGTTACGCCTTCTTTCTTTGCGTGAACATTTGGGCGGTGTTATGCAAATCTTCCCACATAGTGACGTAGACATGTGGGGGCGTGTTTAAACGAGGTGTTTTAGGGGGGCGTGGACGAGTCTTAACTTTTATTAAGAATATCTCTTTGGGTTTGAGACTTTAGTCTTTGCAACTTTAGGGATCTTATCTATTCACGAACAGCTTGTAACACTCCAAAGAGAAAGGAAAACTTGAAATCGCATCATATGACCCCTTTAAATATTAACCACATAGTCCAGAAACATAATATTGAAAACAAAATTATAAAATAAACACAAAAAATATATACTATTATGAAACATAAAATAAGCAAACAGGGTTTGAACATTATGGCCTATACTGGGGAGAAGCCATGTGTCTTTCAGAGCATTCACTGCATTAAAGCACTGCGAAAGTCTAAATCCCCTTTGAAGCATCAAGTAAAAATGAAGATCTCAGTTACGATCAGTTGGAAAAATAACAAACAAATAGCACTGTAAATCAAATAAAATATTTAATTGGGATCAGTCTCATGATAATCAATTTTAATGTTTCCATGTGACATCAACAAAAGGTATTGGTCATAAAATTGGGAGGCACTAATGAGGCACTCAGAAATGCTCAAACTAACCTGTTTCTGCTGACCCCTTTTTTGCGGCCCCTGTGGCCCTCACTGTTCTGGGCCTTCTCTGGAAACAATTTAGATGGGGGATTAGGAGGGACCCTTGTCCTTAGTCGGAAAATGCATTTCCTCTTCTTGATCTCCTTGCCGCAAAGAAACCTAAAATAAAGGGAATGAATGAATATTCACAATTATTATTAAAAAAAACATTAAATAAATAATTTAAAAATGTTATGATTTTTTTAATAATAATTTTTAATATATATATATATATAAAATATTTATATATTATTATCAGGATTATAAAATGTATTTTTAATAATAATTCAAATTTAAAATTATGAAAAAAATATATATTTGTAATAATTATGTTTTTTTTTTTTATAAATAAAAAACAGAAAAAAAATCTATTCAAAGTCCACGCATTACTTCAATGAGAGAAAACAAACGGAAAACATTTCTTCTTACTTGCTTTTATAGTTGTTGAGGGCATCAAGAATATACTGGCCCCGTTCAGACAGAGGGGTGTTGGAGAGCTTGAAGGGGAAGAAATAGGTAAGAAAGTCTTTGAGAGAAACTGATTGTGTGATATGGTGTTTTATTATGAGACATTTCCTTCGCTGGCGCCTTGAGCTGCCATGTTTCAATGAAGACAAATCAAACCCACAGGCTTTGCTATAGTTGTTAACTCTTCTATAAAGAGAAGTGTGAGCAATTTAGCAGTGCTGTTTTCTCAGATTACACTCGACAACAAACAAGCTGTTAGAATGACAAGAGATGATGCACAACAAAAAAACTGGATAATTTTCACTACCCATTTCTCTCAAAGGAACTGCTTTTCAGTACCTAGCAATTACAGCAATCGTCTACAGACAAATCTCTAGCACTGTTTTTATTTGGTTTTAAATGTCTTTGAAGGTGAAGTGTGTCATTTTTGCACAACTAGTAGCACAAAATGGAATGGCATGTTTATAGTTACTATAATGTTCTGGGCCAGGGGTGCCCAAACTCGGTCCTGAAGGGCCGGTGTCCTGCAGAGTTTAGCTCCAACCCTAATCAAACACACCTGAAGCAGCTAATCAAGGTCTTACTTGGCATACTAGAAACTTCCAGGCAGGTGTGTTGAGGCAAGCTGGAGCTAAACTCTGCAGGACACTGGCCCTCCAGGACCGAGTTTGGGCACCCCTGTTCTGGGTGTTGCTCTGTAGATGCTAAGGTGTTTGTGGTTACTAGGGCATTAAGAAGTTGCCATGCGGTTGATAGGGTGTTCTGGGTGTTGTTAGTTAGGGTATGTTATGAAGTTACTAGTTTGTTTTGGGTATTGCTATGATGTTTCTAGGATATTCTGAGTGGTTACTAGGGCGTCACTAAGGTGTTCTCTAGGGGTAGTTGCTTATTTGACTAAAAGTCCACCCAAAAATTACACTTTAATTACATATTTTTTACCTTTAAAGTTTTTTCCTAAAAAGATCTTGAATGGTAAGCAATAGGAAAGGCTTGAATGTATCACCTTGCCCATCTGGAAATGGTCCCAGTTGTTGCTGATGAAGGTCAGGATCTCTTCCAGTTCAAAGTATTTTTTCTTACTTTGGACTCCCAGGTTGTACAGCGCGAGATGGACAACATCCACCCTGCAAATGAAAAATAAGATGATTTAAACAAGAAAATCTCACGCAAAATGCCACTTGGAGCTCTAAAGTGTAAAGACCGAGCTGAAGATGTTTTGGACCTAAAGCAGAAATTCTCTTAGAACAAATGACACCACCAAAATCTGTCACATGGTGAACATTAAATAGAGCTCTGTTCTGTTCACAAGGCAAGGTCTGTTTTAACACATCAGTCTTTTTAAGAAGGATAAAGCTTAAATCTGAACCGAGACTGGCTTCATACCTAAATATCCAACACATCCAGCTCACTGAATTTCAAGAGTAATCCCCTGCTATCATAAGAAATCCTCTCAGCACCAAATCTTCGTTTCAAATAGCTATTTCCCATTTGGGACAAAAAGCAAGAATCAATGTCCAGACAAACTCTACTCTTAAAAAAAAAAAAAGCACTTGAGAGAAAAAGCTCTAGATGGATCTCCGGCCCACATCAATCCCATCCGACACTTTGACTATATAATTCTAACACGGATCTGGGTGCAATCACTTGCGAGGGGGAAAAGAAGAGCTGCCATTTACCATCTGAGCGCCAGCCGCTTGATGTATTCCACTCCTTTATTGCACACCGCACAAACGAACAAGTGAAACCTATGACAGAAAAGACAGCAAAAAATTTGAATCATTTAAATTACACACCTTGGAGAGAAAAATAGTTAAAAATCCCCTAACGCATGTAATCTCGCTTGTGTGCGATTTATACATCATCTGAAAAATGAATACATAAGCTTTCCATTGATGTATGGTTAGTTAGGATAGGACAATATTTGGCCGAGATACAACTACTTGAAAATCTGGAATTCTCCACTTTCAAGTTGTGCCTAAAAATACCCCTCAGCCATGACAAAATCACTGAAAACATCACTTTAATTATATTTAATGATATAAAGCCAATTGCTTTTCAGGGAAGTTCATAGATTTGAGGGGAAAGATGAGAAATCCATACTAAAGGATGGCAGAATATTGATGCAAAGATGCAAGTTCTATTGTTGTGATAAATTCGGTGATAAATGTAGCTCTGTAGAGTACATACCTATCTCCAAACATCATGGACTCCTGTAGGCACTGCGTACACGCCTCATGAAACCACTGCTCACAGCGAAAGCACTGCAGCATTTTCAGATACCACCTGATGGGAAAATCAGAGAATAAGAAATGAACTGTCGAATGTTTCTTATCAGACACAAAACACAAAGACCTAAACAGACCAATTACATTTCAGTATAAACAAAAATAAAAGCAAGCAAAACTGGTGGAGTGATGGAGTTATGCTCAAACCTTTTTCTTTCCATTTAGATGGTGTGTACAGAACAGCGGCAATAGCAAAACCATTAGCACAGCATTACCAAGATGTTTCTAGAAGCTTTATGTCTAGTAGGAATAATACGAATGGCACCAATCCCATTTTTAGAGCCTAAGCACAGTAATAATATTTTGGTTTTGATAATCACTAATACAACACTTGTATTTTTAGTAATGCTGTAATACAATACAGTTGGGTGGATGACATGAGGGTAGCATCTTTAATATTTTCATGAACTGAACGATAAAATCAAATATAGATCACGATAGCTGATCGCAAAGGCATCATGCAAATCAAAATACATAATTTCCTTTCTATTTCAGTAAAATAATGTACTGGGTAAGAGATTTGAAAAAGGAATCATATCATTTAGCATAATTATGTTAGTAAATACTCATATAACAAATAAGTGTTATTTTAGTATTATTTTGATACTATTACACTATTTATTCATATTTTGAACTGGCTTCTATTTTTATATTTTCGGTTTTTTATTTGTTATACTTGTCATTTTTATTATTTTTTATATTTCTAATCATTTTTATTTCTAATAGTTTTTTAGTATTTCTGTTTAGCTTCAGTTCATTTTTATTTCCGCATTAGTTTTAGTGATTGTAGTACTTTAACTTATTTTAATACAGTTTGTTGACAAGATAACATTTCTAAGCTTTATATATGCTTTTACCTTTAGGTTTTTCATCTTTTATTTACATTTTATTTTTTCACCTGAATTTTAATTATTAATAAAATGATTTTAAATAGTTTTAGTTTTTAGTAGTTAACAATAAAAGCACTGCTCTGGTTATTGTCATTGCAAGTAAAACATAAAATGTATAACTTAAGTTTAACTTTCTGAACTCTATTCAGTGTCACAGCGCACTTATAAAGCCAACTGCTTTAATAATAATCCGATGACTAATGTTACGAAGCAAAGTAGGGACTGTTTATTTTTCAACAATCTTCAGAATCCCTGTTCTGTTGTTGGTTGCATAACACATTCAATTTTGTTTTGATCAAAATAATTGTGCTGAGCGAGCAGACAGCAACCGAGCACACGAGGCAGAGATGTGTGAGTGCATTTGTCACGCTCTCCTCACTGCTTTTACTTCACTGAAACACACAAACAAACCACTTCACTACGATTAATCAAACATCCCAATGCTTTCAAACAATGTGACAGATGTTATGCCCAGTACACTACAGTTTTGCTTTCCTGTGTGCACACTACACTGAATCAGTTAATAATACAGGGGGCTTAATGCCTAGACCTCTGGCAGGAAAAGAAACCAAGCAAGGAAGAGAACAAAAAGAAAGGAACTAGAAGACACGAGGCAGACTCACTCTCCAGGTCCTCCGCAGTAGCAGTAGCACTGCTGATGGTTCGTACGATGCAAAGAGTCCCACTCCAGCTCCTCTGGATTATAGGGCAGCACCTGCTTCATGGCCTGCAGCGCTTTAGAAATTGGCCCTTTTTTCAGAGCTCCCCCTTTCTGCCACATAAAGAAACACACGTCAGCAACATGGCCTCCCTGATCCCCATTCATTTACATGGAAAGAGAAAATAGTGTATATGCACGGATATGAAAGACTTACTCTCACAGCTAAAGCAAAAATGCACTTCCTGCAGAACCATGGAGAGAGATCAGCTGAGCTCTCCACTGGGGGCAAGTGGCAGAGCTGGTGATAGCCTGAAGATGCAAGGCAAACATGTAGAAGGATGGAGGACAAATATTAGCACAAAAAAAGCAGATCGACTCAATCAGATGTGTAAATATGAACAGCAGAGCTGAAGTCGACACTAATCCTTGAGACTTCAGAGAGCTACTTCTGTGTCTCCAGCGAGTCATTACTGTAGTGCGGTCTTACCAAACCCCCTTAAAGTCATCAAAGACACCCAGAATAGTTCTCTATTTGCTTTGTAAACGCTATGGCATTTATAATGCAAATTGTACCACATTTTCCACTCCAGCTTTTTTTTAAATACATTATCACAAGTACATGTTAATCAGTTTTATCCACAGGCAGAAGAGTTCCCCAGCCGTTGCATCATGCAAGAAGTCATAGCAACTTTTATATTACTAGATTTCGACATTTTGTGAAGAAATTGCGAGTGCTGCAGAGCCGTAACCACCACAGACATTGAATAATCAGATATGGCTAATTCGCCCCCCCAATATTTGTTAATCTTGATGATGCTTTGCATCAGTTTGTTGTTAGCATGACAATAACAGCATGCTATAACGGTTCACAAAAGCTGAGGGCAAGTTCTAACAATCAGTTGATAGAGTGCAAGATAAGAAGCTATTAGCTGGACATGAAATATTTTGCTTTTGTAAACCATTTTAAGATGGAAATGTGAAACGACCGACAGCAATACTGTCCAATTTGGCCTTTGTGAATCATGAATGTAATGAAACAAGAAACATTAACAGATTTCAGGCATAAGATATTAGGCATAAGATTAAATGAGCAATTCACTGCTGACAAGAAGGGATTTTAATAAACGTTTGCTGTCTATGCGGTAGAAATTAGCTTTTTTTGGTAAATCCTTTTTG